ATCAGTTTGAATCCCCAGAAAAACTTGCCAACTATTTGAAGTATTTGGACAGAAACGATACTGCATACAATGAGTACTTTGCATGGCATGAACATGGGACCATAGATGCATGGTCGCCTTTACCTCAATGCGCTATATGCTTATTAGCACATACTGCTCATAAACTGAAAACGTATACATTCCCAAACGTTTCGAAATGGTGGAACGATGCTTGTGTTGGTCGTAAAATACGCTGGAATCCTATCCATTAGCAATCTTTTACAGTTTTGAATAACACTTATATCACAGGTAATTGTGATTTTGACTCTGTATAATGTAAAGTGATTACGATTTTATTAGTTTGTTATTTTTATCAAAAATTCACTCAAAACTATTTATGGGATACTTTAGACAGAATAAAATGTGTTCGTTAATATTTGCAGTTTATTGTCTTTACAACATAAATTTATAACCAGCATAATCTATTTAACAGCAATTATATAGTATACAAATTGTTTAAATTTTAATGAAATTGTAAAACTATCAATCAATATAATTCAACAATACATCCTTTTCACAAAATGAACTTTCTATTCAAATATCTTCTAGAAATAAAAACACGTTTTTAACAAATGTGATGTTTTACTCTTCTGTTCTATATTTGTTCTCCGATAGGAATGTTTGCATTGATTGTTAACAAGAAACTTTGTGGAATGTTTGTGGTTTATTTTGGCAAACTCTTGTTTTCATGAAGAACGTCAGTCCATTATTTAACTAACAAATGGGTCATGGTCACAATACGACAATTAGAAAAAACAATGAAACAGGATGACTAAAACTTATATTAAATATTTGTTTAACGTAAAAATCGAACAATGGAGAAGTAGGTTTTTACAACAAGTTAACAAAGATAATCCTAATTACTATATTGTACTATATGGTCCCTTACCGTAAGGAAAGACAACCAGACGCTGATTAACATAGCAAGCTCTCAGAAGAGTGTTTACCAACGACAAACTCGTTGGGTTTTAACTTCTGGCTGACCACTTCTTACAGTCATCACTACCTCACTACGGGGGTGAGTGATGTGTAGTGGCAAATAAATTCCCAAAATAAATAGCTCAACATTTCCTGCAATCGCTAGCCAGATTATATCAGTTGATCTTCGATGTATTGATAACCTATCAAATATATCTTCGAATTTCCTCGCTTCTGTCTTTTCATTTCACTTGGTGGGTACGATTCATATTAGGTGTTACTGGTTGAAGCGTTGTCAAACTCTAAATACCTGTGGCGTCCTCACCTTGTTCACCCTTGGTTTGAAATCAGGATATTCCAACTTCATGTGGATTCTCCACGTCCACCAACCCGTTTAAACCACCGAATCTTCACTTATCGTCCTCTCAACTTCGTAAAAAGCACCCCCGCTCTGAGAAAGCAGTGAGGAGGTCTTCTTTGACAGGTTCTGTATACGAGAAGCTATGTGAGAGCATTTCGAGGAGATCTGAATTTCTCCACCCTCGTTCATACCACGGCACTTGGGGGAAGTCGATAATGAAAAGTAACTACATCTGTAGCTTTCCTGTGGTTACTGCTGGTCCCGAGTCGCGTAAAGTAAGAAGGTTGAGCATGAAGTCAGCAACCCCATCCCATTGAACACAACCCCGAAACAAATCCTAACCAGAATCAAAACAATTAAAAATACTTAAACTCGATCATCCGATTTGAAGTGTCTTCATTTAAAAGAGTTACGACGCCTCATGGTAATCAAGAGGAACAACCAAATGGCTGCGCAAATGAGGCGATACAACTTAGTGGTTATTGGGATAGGCGAAACCCATTGAACCCTCGCTGAACAGAAAAGATTAGCTTCAGGAGAGGTGTTGTCGTACTCTAGTCATGAAGATAAAATTGTGGCGAAACTAATTTGTGGATGAACCAATCAAGCATATGATAACATGTCTCGAATTTTGGCGTGAAATTCACTCATCCATTTGGCTAAATCGAGTTTTGGCATAATAGCTAGTGTCAGTTCAAGATGAAATCTCAAAATATAGTTCCTAAACCTAACCGTCAACTACAAATCATAATTCTAATTCCTCACGCTGGTTTATAACTCACATTTGGTCCTAGTTATTAGGTGAACACTCTTAAGGTTATTTTAGCGTCTCTCAAAGGTCGTCCATAAATTATAGTCTCACCGAAAATTCTTTGCGCACACAAGAATTTGCTCTGATTTCGTCCAAAGAGCCGCCAAAATCACTCAAAGGATGGAAATCTCATGAATCCAGGATCATTACGCATCCTTCAAAACACAGAAGAAGGGGTCAAAGTGGATGTTGTCTAATGTTATTCACCCACCAACGCTAGTAACGAAGACGATAAAGACACTGTAGTGACAGCCCTTGGGCCGTAACCACACAATCATCAAAGCTAAAAACGAGACAACTGGGGAATTGGATGTTCAACATTTTATGCGGAGAAAAACCCGAACGATGAAGAAGGCGGGAAGAATGAATTGAGTTAATTCGAATTGATCGGATGGCATGGCTCGGCTATTCTTGAATGTTGTTATACACCTTTTATTCATATTAAATATATTGTTCCACCTCGAGCCTGAGTTGTGTGACATTGCTAATTACACCGGGCAATTTCAGTTGCATTTGGTACTTATCGAGTAATTGTTGATGGGATGGACCTATTTTGTACATAACTGTGACTAGAGATAATCTTCGACCGGATGAAGAATATTGTTGAATTAAAGTAAATATCTGCTTCTTTAGTAAGACAATAGATGTGTTCCGTCAAACCCAAGAACTCGTTAAATTTACTTTGGAAATATCGGAATAATCCCGATTACCGATTGTATATGATTATTATTAGAAGAACTACTGAAATTGTAATCATTTGGAGAATTTGTGAAACTGAAGAGGTTAGTTCCTCTATATCTGACTGCAATGAATAGTATCCCGTTAACTGAGTATTTATGTAGGCTAAATCTCGAGATTATTCAAAAGCCTGAACACCAGTTGTGGAGATGCTTTATTGCTAATGATTATCAAAATTCCACCAGCGTGCAGAAAGCAAGCACACAAAGAACCGAATGGCCTGTGTGAGTGTTGGAAATTTATGTGTTAGATCTATCGAAGCGATTAGTTCACCTGATTGAGATACGCCCGAAACCAAAGTTCCAAAACAACGTATTGTCTACAATTGAATAATACACAACATTTAGTTACAAACCTCAATTTGTGAAGTGTCTGGTGCGCTTAAACGCGTCCTTCAAGTATAAAAATATAAAGGCTTCCTGTAACAGTAACATAAAGAATTATTATAACAGACGATATTACAAAGGACAGCTGATAGCTGTGTTTAAATTTGATTCCAGTTTATGAACAACCGAAACCCGAACCAAGAGCAAAACTATGTGAAAAGTGTTGCGTTTAAACAAATGCACGAAACTGTGGATAACCGCTACAGTGATTAAGACAAAGTAATAATACAATGATAAGTACAATAAACGTCATAAATATATGTGAAAAATTCAGAATAATGCACTACAACTTGCGTAACAACTGCTTATTGAATATAAATAAGTAGTACAAAACAATATACAAAAGAGTGGAAAAGAAACGAATAGGAACAATGTAAGCAAACTCAAAACCATGTTTACTTACGAGTGTTAATTGGTTGTAAATAAATTATTGATTGTTTGTGTTTACAACCAATGAGAGAATAAATGAATATTGATGTGCAGACATGAGCTCAATAAACTCACACATTAATTTA